TACAAGAGTTTGAGTTTGTGAATTCAATTTCACAAGAGCAAGTGAAGATCATCCTTTGGTGTTTTCATCTTCTTGTTTGGGCTCCAATCTCCATCTCTCCATCTTGTCATCTATTGGAGAAGTTTTCTAAACTCTATCTAGCTTTACATTTGCTTAGTTATTTGATTATCATTCTTTAAAGCTAGTTTTTATATTGAGTTTAGATTTGATTATATTATCTCATTGTTACACACACCCACTTGAGCTTATTGTATTTGCATTCATAATATATTATGGTTGTGAGAGTTGTAACATTGAGTGTTGGCTTTTATTGTGTTCTCATACATATTAGAGAACAATTTATATTTGTTACATTGTGAGATTGTTAGGTTTTCGGTGAGCTAGAAACCGAGTGTGTTGTGAAGTTTTCGGTGAACTAGAAAACCGATTGTGAGGAGTGACGTTGATCGGTGAGCGTTGAAAACCGATACTGTGAGGTGTAAACGTTGTTCGGGTGAACGTAGAAAACCCGGTTGATAGTGGATTTCTCCCCGGGAGTGGGGAGCGGAGACGTAGGACGGAAGGTCCGAACTCCGTGATCATATTGCTTGTTTGAGTGTGCTTTGGCGTTCATTCATATTTATGTTCATATCTTATATCGCCATTGTCATTAGCTCATTATCTATATCATCCACTATCTTGTTTAGATTGTTTACCCCTTGTGTTAGTTTACATATCCTATACATATATCATATTGTATATCTCTTTGATAGGATATATCATCTTGTGTTAGCTCATATATCCTTGCATATATCTCATAGTATATATCATTGCTAGGATATTTACCTTTGTTCATATTGCTTATTCTTGCACATAACTCTTGTATATCTATCTTGCAAGAATATACTTGTTAATTAATTTTAATTGGCATTTAATCGGATTAGATTAGCATAAGACCCTAATCACCCCCCCTCTAGGGTCTAACAATTGGTATCAGAGCTTGGTGCTCTTTGATTTAAGGTCTAATCGCCTTGAGTTAAAGATCCAAGTTATATTTTTGTGCTAATCTTGTTTTGATTGCATTTGCATCTTGCTTGCATATTTTTACAAATTATGAATATGAATGATGCATCTTGTTTAGGCTATGATTCTAGTGTTGCTCCTAGATTAGACAATTTCCCCTATGCCCAATGGTGTGTTAGATTTAAACTATTTGTTAGATCTAAACATTTTGATTTATGGGAAATTATTGATAATGCTTATATTGTACCCACTATGGAAAAATCCAAGTGGAGTAAAAATGACAAAAGATTGTTTACCATGAACAAGATTGTGTTAGAATATATGCATAATGCACTTGATTCCTCTATTTCTAACAAGCTTGTTTCCTTTGATAGTGCTTACAAATTGTGGACATTCATAGAAGCACATCATGGTAACTTGGAGGAGATCCAAAGGATTCCGGCGGATTCTTCCTCAAGTAATATTGGAGCTTCATCATGCACACGGCCACTAGGCGATAGCCCTAGTGAGGTTTGCGAGTTCGAAACCATAAATGATTTACCTAATGATGAACTTGCTTGTGCTAGTGAAAAATTATTACATGCCTTTAACAAATTGCAAAATGATTTCATTAATTTACAAAGCAAGCATGAAATTTTGAAATCCGATCATGAGTTGTTAGCATCTAAGTTTGAAACTATTTCTAATGAAAATGTGATCCTTAAAGAAAACAATGAAAAATTAAAATTGGATCATGTTTCTTTAACTTCAAACGTTGCTAGTTTAACTCATGAAAGAGATAATGCCATGTTAGAAGTAAAGAACATACAAAATAATACTGCTTCCTTTATAAATGATTATTTATGTTCTACTTCTAAAAATGCATATGTACCTAAAAATAAAGATTTGAATCTTATGAAAAATAGTATTTCATCCTTATATTCAACTTTGAAAATATGCATTAATAACCATAAGAAGCTTATGGATATGTGTGCCAAGACTAAATCAAAATCATCTCATCATGCACACATATATAGCAAAATTTACAAATGCTCTATTTGCGGCCGAAAAGGTCATTTATCGTGCATCTCATATAGCTTCTTCATCTTGTACACTTACACATTCACATGCTCATTCTCACAAAGTTCATCATAAGCATGCTAGTGTGTTCAAGTGTGATTATTGTGGTCGTTTTGGTCATTTGGCCAAATATTGCTTTGATTTGAAAAGAAAATCTCATTTGACAAATGCTTCCAATAGACCACATGTTTTTAAATGTGATGTTTGTGGTAAGTTTGGACATCTTGCTAAATTTTGTTTTGATATACAAAAAGCTTCTAAATTGCAATATGTTCCAAATAAACCATTGTTTAAGAATGTTTCTCATTTGCAAAATAATTTTAAAAGAAAATCTTTATTTGCAAATGATTCCCGTGCACGAGCTAATGGTCCACAAAAACAAATGGATCTCTTTCATTGCACAAATTGCAATAGGAAGGGTACCACCTTTGTTTAATAATGTTTCTCATTTGCAAAATAATTTTAAAAGAAAATCTTTATTTGCAAATGATTCCCGTGCACGAGCTAATGGTCCACAAAAACAAATGGATCTCTTTCATTGCACAAATTGCAATAGGAAGGGTCATTTGAATGAATATTATTTTGACCATGTTAGTGCACCATATATGCCTAAGAGGGTTCATAACCCTAAGGCTTTGAGCTTAAATGATAGGGGTCATGTCCCTAAATCTTTTGGTACCAAGAGTTCTTGGGTACCAAAACAAATTTAAACTTTAAACCAAGAATTTTAGTGTTCTTACTTTTTCCTTTCTTGGTTTTAAAATTATGTCTTAAAATATTTTGATTTTATTGGGTGTTTATTCCTAAATCAAGTTTACCGGATGCTAAAATGATTATATGGGTTGGAACAAGCTCAAGAGCTTGATATAATTGTTGCCTCTCTTAAAAATTGTGATTATTAGTTTTGATTTTGATGAGATGTTTGTATTTATATAACCCTCCGGGTTTATTGGGTGTTTATTCCCAACTCAAGTTTACCGGATGCTAAAATGATTATATGGGTTGGAACAAGCTCAAGAGCTTGATATAATTGTTGCCTCTCTTAAAAATTGTGTTTTGATTTGTTGCTTTTGAATTCATTATAATTCACTTATATGATGATATTTATGTGTTTGTGCTATTGGACCATCTATTCGTGCTTTATAATGTATTCTATGAGTGGTTTGATCAAGTTATGTAAAGAAAATTTTTTTGTTGATCAAACATCATTTTTGGTTTAAATGGTTGATTTATGATTTCATTTGGTTGATTTGTTTTCATTCGAAAACTCTTTTTGCATGATTCTCATGTTTTCTCTCTTTTGATTTCATAAATCTATTTTTTATACATGGTTTTTAGGCTTGTATTTATATGGTTTTTATATTTTTTGTGTTAATGAGACACTATTTTCATATTGACATATTTATATGTGTTCTCATTATCTTCATGTATGTGAGTAAATTTTTAGCATATTCATGTATGCTTGTTCACATATGTTTTGCCATGATCTTCATTGCATATTTTCTATATGGCTTTTTGATAGGGGGAGCAATCCCTATATATGTTTGATACTCACCTATGCTTATTGATAGGGGGAGCTTTCGCTCTCTTAATCCTTTTGTCCCCTTTTTGGAGAAATATTGTGAGTATGAGTATATTCTTTCTTGCTCATATGCATGTGAATTATAACTTATATATTTATTTCCTTTCAGGCATATATCCTTTTTGTAAATTGTTTGTCATCATCAAAAAGGGGGAGATTATTGGCCTTCTTGTTTTGATGATGATTTACAAACAATTTTCTACTAATGTTGTTTGTCCAGTATTTACGTTTTCCTATGTATTGTAGACAAACAACGTAGTTGGAGGATGGATGGAATAGAGCTTCAACGATCATA